TTTTTGTTTCCCTAATTGTTGTAGATGTAAAACAAAAATTCGGCCGTAGAGGGTTAATATAAACGTATTTATGCTAGGTAAAACTACATGTTTTTAAAGATTTCTTAATGTCCATCAACATACTATAATGCAGTCTATTTGAACCAAGGAAGGCTAAATTGCTAGAGGAACTGTACTCTATGAAAACGCTAATCAAACCCTTCAATTTGTTATCATTATTGCAAAATTTGAATTGCTATTCTTACATAATTAGGTTTATTAATAGTAAAGTAAATATATAAGGGATTAATATTATATATAAGTGACCTATAAATTATATATTATGTATGTAACTAAATGTTTATAAGAGGCCAATAAAAGAAATATATAAAAAATGTCCATCAAGATTAAAATTCACTCTTTTATAAGCTTATACGCCTAGAATCAAATCTAACTTCTCAGATTTTTTCTATCATAATCTTATAGACTTTGTATAAAACTTGCCAATGTCTTAAATGTCCGTTCATTAATACATTAATGAGTCATAAGTAATTATAATAAATAATTCTAACCAAAAATAATTATTTTATCGCTCTTTGGTCAATTTTACGAACCATTGACAATAAAATAAAATTTCTAGAGTAACAAAATATTCTATGTATTTTTCATGAAAAAACGTAAAAATGGAATGTATCCCTCTGCAAAAATAAATTAAATCTCTATTAAGTATATAAAACGATTTTGATATTTTTAACTGTAAAAAAGTGTAAAAAATCTAATAAAATCTATTTGCTCTATCAAATCTTTTCAGATTTCACTCCTTACATATTTTGTATAGAACTTGCCAATTTAATATAACTCAAATATTCATTTTATTAATATTTCGTAATTTTGCAATTTCTCTATACACTCTATACAACAAGCTTTAAAAAAAAGATAATATTACGACTAATGAATCTAAATATTTATAAAAAGCTTTTTCGTACTCATTAAGGTTGAAATTTTCTGTTTAATAAGTCTACATAATCTAAAATCTATCAAATCTTTTCTCAGATTTCTATCTATTACAACTTTATATATTTTATATAAAATTTTCTAATATCCCAAAAAGTCTACATCTGAATCAATAAAAAGAGTGTGCCTGAGAAATACATATGTGATAGATTTGTTCGTATGTTAAAAAATGCATTCAACAATTGGCAAAATTTAAAGTTATTATAAGATTAATAGAAATTTATATGCGTTAGTTTAGAATAGCAATGGAATCTTTAAATTTCGGTTGCAGTATTATCATACTCTGCACGTTTCAAAATATTGCAAATGAACAGGTAAGTTCTCTAAAATTGCAAACACAAAATTTCTGGTTCGCATGTGAATTGCCCCGATTACCACATTTCTGTCTGCTCTATATAGGTAGATACCACGAAATATAAGTTACAAAATGCCCTGGGCACCCCACTATGTAACACATTTTGTTATCCGCAATGCTCGAGGCTTTTCAGTCGGAAAGATAAGTATCAGCCCTCACAAAATAACTTGACTCCTCTACATATATTTACATAAGCCAGTACTAAAAATAGCACTAAAGATATTTGATGGAGACCTACAATAAAGCATATTGAAGGAAGTGAATTTATGACCTCTTTATGACTGTGCCGGTTAACTGACATGAAATTCTAGGGCGCAATGGAAACAGAAAATCTGATAAAAATAATGGAACAATTATTTCCCTAAAATATGTTTCTACTATACACGGCACGAAGAAACAATGTGTGATCGATCAACGGAAAAAATCCATATTGCCCTGGTCTATATAAAAAAATCCATTTATTATCATTAGCATTATCATACAATAATTTTATTCCGAAGGGTGTATCTATAAAGTGCGAAATTTTCACCTAAGATAGTTACCACCGGCAAGTATATTTTTGAAATGTCCTGCAAAAAAATTCAATCAATTCTTTTTGAGACTTTTAAACTCTGAAATACAAGAGTCCACTTCATATTATCCTTCAAAATAATTTCACAATATGATTTAATCATTTTCGATATTAGCAAGAAAACTCCTATATTCGCGCCCTAATTCCTTCCAAGTTTCTATTCCATTACCGCAGCCTTGACATATCCATGAATAAATAATAAATCTAACACAATCAAAAAATCAATCACAGAAATATTATTACAAAGATTTACTGTCCATCAATTCGATTAAAATGTTCATTTCAAGTGTCGGTTGTCAATTATAGAGAAGAACTTCATAATGGCAACATTCAACATATTTCTTACGGACAACAAGAGGTTAATTAAAACCTTGAATATTCACACATTTGTGCAATAATTTGTTTAGCTCGAGTGATCAAGAAGTATAATTGAAATTTGAGTAGACACATCGTTAGCTATGTTGTAAAAATATTTTGATTAGATTTGAAAATGATAATAAAACCGTAACGAGATTCGTTAAATGTTGGAAATCGAGATAAAATGTAGTTGAAATACAATTGGCAAGTTTGTAATATAAATAAGTTTTGAAATTATACGGATCTATTACTATTTTGTAACTGTAATGCATAAATGTGTTAATTAAATAGCATTCTTTATAGTTATATATATTCGCCTTAAAGATGTAATTTAACTGGAATTTATTAATTAGTTTTGTCCTAATGACTTCTAACTCTTTGCTTCATAATGACAATAAATAACAAAAACGTGGATTTTTTATAATATAATATCAAAGACATTAAATGACAACTAGATAATACCCCAAACTATATTTTTAGTGAAATTTTGTAGAAATTTAATTTTCAGTTATTACTTTTTTCAGATATTGGGCATAAAGTATGAACAAATACGAGTAAGATACTACTTAATTAAATAATAAAAATCTAATTAAATAAAAAATGCTTAGAGATTTGCACCCTTATTAGGTGATATGTTAAGGGGCCCACATAGTGTGACAACCTAAAAAAAGGTCATTTATGGGAATAGAAATATAAAAAAAACTAGTGAATCAATCTATTTAAAATTTTGAAGGTATATTTATACATGTTTTGAGAATACACAGTAAAATTTTTGAAATAAAATATTAAATATTTTTGAAATGACACGCAATCTCCGGCGGCTTGTTATTTTTAAAGGTATAACCTATCGAAATTTGGAAAAAATCAAAATTCATTTTTTTTTAAATTTCACACTAGGTGTGCCCCTTAAGGAAAAAAGACAATTTTGAATCACTAAAATTAGATCTTTAGTTTTTTAAGAATACTATGCAGACCCAAAATTAATAGTCAAATACTATTTATAGTAATATGAAGAAAGTCATAAAAAGGTCATGTCTAAAGCAATAAACTTGCCGATAATCAATTTTTACTTGATAATTTTTCTGAATCTTTTTTTATGAAAACCAATACTGAACTAACAATAAAAATCAAGTTAGCATCTTCTACTTGAAATACTCCCTAAATAAGGTAATATAAGACCTCTGATCCGAAACAAAAAACCTAATAGCCTGCAGTTTTCAGGTAAAAGTAAAAATTCGAATAACCCGAGGAAAAAGTCTTTTTTTTAAATTTCACTCTTAAAACTATAAAATACTTTTATATGAATTATATGATTACCAAAATTATATTCGTAAAATTGTAAGCAATAAAAGGAATTAAATTTACAGTTGTGAATTTTTTGGGCTAAAAGTATAAACAAAGGCACTACTAAACTAATTGCACTATAAGACATTTATTTAATTTGACATTTATTTAATTTGTTTATACAGAATATGTTTCAGAATTATTTAAATTAGTATGCACTACTTTATAGACCCTTGTCTTCAGGATCTAACTTTGATTTAGTATTTTGGAGCTGGGCATTCTTCATAAGCATGATCATACTAGAAGCACGTTGAATATAATTTCCTTATAAAGGATTATATTTGTCCTGAACGTTCAGTTTCGATTAGTTTTTTAATTGAATATACTATTTTATCTTTATTAGAATTCTACTTATACAAATATTATTTTAAAAAACAA